TTTGCTTATCCTCCTACACCAGTAAATATAATTTTTGCGAAAAAAATGAGACTGAGCAGCATTTGAAGAATACTGCCTGAAGATCATCCTATACAGGATGATACAGGATATTAATGGGGTTTTAAGGCTATTAAGGATCGCCTCAGAAGATGAAAAGAACTTTTAAAAATCATACATATCGGTGTTGTTCGTATTTTGATGATTGCTGGAAACGGAAAAGAAAATTTGTTAGAGACCTGCCGGTTTCCTTCAAATAATTTTTTGTAGTGAAATTTGATAGATAAATCTGATAAATATTATCAATAATCACTGCAAATTTTATCCTTTTACTTATGCTGCAGCACTCATCATTTTATTCGAGGAAAAACATTATATATTCGTACTCGTTAATCGGAATTCTGGATTCTGGAAACCTGAGCATCGATGAATGGTACTTGATAAGCCCTCAGGAAATCCTCTTTGCATATTCGTGCTATTGTGGCATTCTCAAAAACGCATCGCACTTGATCAATTCTAATCGAATCCTTATAATCCTTCTCGATGGGAAAATAATAACATTAGCATGTCGACTAAGAATTCTTCAATTAGAAAATCGATAACACTGGTCTGAACCAAACATGCAGTTTTTGGCCAATTTTACTTGCCTCCATCGAAGGATTTCATAAAAATACGAGCATGGGACTTATCAGTGATAAATAATAACACTGAAATAACACTGATTATATAACACTGATAACACTGATTATATAACACTGATAACACTGATTATGCATAAGTGAAAACACTGATTATATAACACTGATAGCATTCAGATTCAAATTCATTTAAAACTATCAGTTCGAACACGCCATTTCACTTTATACCACTGCGAATTGAATTTTTCAAATAAAGGCATTTAAATTTAGTTTATGTCTCAAAACGAATGACTGAGTTTTCAATTTTAAATTTCCCTTCCTTGCGGAAATTTTATTTATTTTTTTCCACCGCCGCGTGACTGGACCTTTCCCCCTTCTACACCGAAGACGCCGTTCCGCATTCGTGCAGCGTTGAACGAAGGTTAGTGAGTTGTATAGTTGTTGTTTCTTCCTGCGGCATTGCTTAGTCACTTGCTGCACTTCAGTTTTCTTCGGCCTCATTTCGGTCGAGGTGAACCCGGAGGAACGGCGATTAAACAATAACCGTTAACCGGTCCATATCCATAGGCAATTATTTTACTACCTTAATTAGTGAGACCAGTACTTTTGTGGCATTCAAATCTGTCCGATTGATAGTTTTAGCAAATTTATCGATTATTATCTTATCAGATTTATTGAAGAAAAATCAGTAATAAACTTCTTCTTTAGTGATTTTTTTACTTTTTTCGTTCACTTTAATAATATTCGTGATAAATTGCATCGATAAATATATATTTTATATTAATTTTTTTTAATATTTTTTCTTTATTTAGTTATTGATTAATGCATTCTGCGATGATTTCAACACTAAAATTCCGTTTACCTCAAAAGATTCAGTTTAATTCAAAATTTCCAGCTAATTCGCATACTGTTTATACTAATTTCGACCGTCGTCCCAGTCGATCTTTTGGTTTGTTTTTTTCCATTAAAAAATTTTCCTATCGACGGTTTTAAATTACATAAGCCGACTTACTACTTTATTACTACTTACTAAGTTGTTGTTTATTTATTATTTATTATTTATTTATGTTGTTGTTTATTGTTTATTTATATGTTTTTCTGTTGAAGAATCACGCGGTCGCAGAAATCAACTGCGATCGTGGTGGGGAAATCGATCGTCTAATGCTGGGACAAGGGGATTATTTCATCGTCGCCACCAAAGAGATAAAATATCTGCGGAACACTTTTATCGAACCCCGAAGAGTCATAAGCGATCGGATATTTTGTGTATTGATGAATCACGTCCCGAAATAATTCTTAATGGTATCCATTGGCGTTTTCCGAATGCTAAGCGTGTAAGTATTTTATTTGCAAATATGTTTTTTATTTTAAATTCTTCATGATATACTTCGCAGTGTCAGAATTTTGTATGGCCCAAATAATTATTGGCTCCTTCATGATAAATTAATAAAAAATATCTATAGAAGGCTGAAAAAAGTGACGATGAACCGGCACAAGCAAAGAAGAAATTGATCCAGAATGTAAGAGAAAAGCCATGTAAATCCCTATTAAAAACAGATGTCGGTGAGTTCAAGAAATATTAATAACATTGTAATAAATTTATTAAAAATAAAACAGCTTCTTAAGTGTTTCATTATATCATCAATCTTAACTTAGAAAATCTTTCGTTTGTGGAGTTTTTATCGTTTGACATTTGGATTCAGTTTCGCTATTTTAGTGAAGCAGCTGAAATCTCTTCTCGGGCGAATATGTGAACAAAACTATGACAAATATTTCTTATTAGAGGAACGCGATAAAATTTTCTACAAAGCTCGAATCATATCTAATGACATGGAGACAACGGTTGCAATTCAGGTATGCAGCAAGTTATTAGCTTTATTTTTCTAATGTTATATTATTATATAATATTATTATTATATTATTGTATAATTTTAGGGTACTTGTGAAGATATGTGTAGTGAAAAGGAAAGATACGCTAGAATTGTTCAAAAAAGAGTTAGTCCTTACGAGTGCAATCATTTGGGTGAAATGATTCCTAAAATAGCCGTGAAGGAATACAGAAGAAGTGCGGCAGATCAGGTAATTGAATAAATACTTTTGTTTTTCTTCTTTTCAATTTTATTTAATTAATTAATTTAATTGTATGAATCTTTATTGATTTTTGGGTAAATATAGGAAAGATTTGGAGCTGAGTTCCTGGCAAAGTTTTCCTATCTTTTTTTGAATATTTTGGTTCATTCCTAATATTTTCATTTCATAAATTCAAAATTTTGAAAAAAAAAATTTTGAAATTGAATTAACATATATTTTTTTCAGGAAGGAACCTCTTCCGCACGAGCTTCGCCCAATTCATGTTCTTCATTCCACGATGAATTACCTTATCGAAAAGGTTTTTATTTATGAAATTTAAGTCACAGAATTTTCATATATGCTTATTGATTTTCTCAATACTGCTTTGAAAAGTCTTTTTACTTCTTTTCTCGGAAATTGACTTGCTTTAAAGCTCGTCTGTATGTATAATATCTTTGCGAAATTAAGGTGATGCTGTGGAGTTTGATTTACTAAGCATTGTTGGACATTAAACGATAGAAATAATGTAATAAATGGAATAGCGCCTTAATACGTAAGGTTATCGATAGCTTTACGTTCGACGTTGAATTCAACGAGTAGTTTGTGAATATTTGCTTTGTTATCATTATTTTATTAATATTTGATAATGACTATAAATGGTGATCATGGAGATTTTCTCAATTCATATGTTAATTCAAAACTTGCTCTTGTTTTAATGAAAAGTTTTGAATTTGAAAAGTTTAAAAATTGATAGTTTTGTAAATTTTCTACTCTTTCTTAAATTTGTACGTTTAGATTG